CAGCTACTTGGGAGGCTGAGATCCAGAGGATCATGGTTCAAGGCCAACCAGGCCAAACAGTTTGAGAGACCCCATCTCCAAAATAACCAGAGCAAATGGACTGGGAGGTATGGCTCAAGCAGTAGAATGACTGCTTTGCAAGCTGGAAGCCCTGAGTTTAAACCTCAACTCCAATAAATAAATAAATAAATAAATAAATAAATAAATAAATAAATAAATAAATAAATAAATACAGGAAGAATTGGGACAGGGAACAAGAGGTAAGCATGATTAAGCAGTGTTAGTCAAAGGTTGATCATTATTTCAGGATTAGTCAAGACTGCATTGTCACAATAAAGTCATTGTTACCTTGGAGGTTGATTTGACTCTTGTTGTAAGATGTTTATCCACAAGGCCTGTGCCATTTCCAGAATCCATGGTGATGGAAGGAAAGAATGACTCAGAGCCATTCTGACAGATGCAAAATGGAGGTAGATGTGCTGAGTTTTTAATCCAGCTTTTAGTTAATTTGTGGGCCCACCTAAGGAGCCAGTGGTTTTTATCAAAAGCAGTTTCTAAGTACCTGTTATGTTTAATAGCTCAACATCTAGCTTTTGAGGAACTGCGATACTGTTTCCTAAAGCTGGATGTATTATTTTATAATCCCATCAGCAGTAAGCATTTCAATCTTTTTAAGTCCTTGCCAACACTGATCTTTTTTATTACAACTATTCTAGTGGGTGTGAAATGGTATCTCATTACAGTTTTGATTTATATTTCCCTAGTGACTAATAATGCATTATTTTTTAATTACAAAATAATTTTAAAGAAGGATTTTATGCTGTGGTTTGTGACTTGTAGGTTAAGTACCCAAAAGCCACAACACCCTGTATTCAAGCCACATCTCTCTATAGCTAATGCTCAAACTCCATCCCCTCTTTCCTACAATGGAATTTAGGATAAAACTTTTTCAAAACTGTACTTGTTGCCTCTGTTAGAAAGAGATTCTTGGGCCAGGAACCAGAGGCTTACACCTGTAATCCTAGCAACTCAGGAGGCAGATATAAGGAGGATCTCAGTTCAAAGCCAGCTTGGGCAAATAGTTCATGAGACCCTATCTCAAAAAAACCCAACACAAAAAAAGGGCTGGCAGAGTGGCTCAAGGTGTAGACTCAGTTCAAACCGCAGTACTGCAAAAGAGAGAGAAAAAAAAAAAAGAGAATTCTTGGGGCAAATGAACCTGTAAGTACATTAAATGGTTCATTTCTTATATGTTGTTAGAAACTCAAAGCATATGAAGAGCTTTTTGATGTCTCCATTTTTCTTTATAAAAAAAATAGTGCTTCCTAGAGGTACTCATAATGGCTATTGGATAAAGTAGTGACCCTTTGTAGGTTGTGTTTTCTTCATGTACATGCCCCTTGGGTTCCCCTTGTCCCCACTACCATCAGGACATGGAATAGTTAGGGGCACTCAGTTTCAAGAGTGGTGGTCCCAAACTTTGTTTAAATGTGTAACTATTAAAATTTTGGAGCCAGATGTAGTGGTTCATACCTGTAATCCCAGCACTCAGCAGGTGGAGGCAGGAGGATAGTGAGTTTGAGGCCAGCCTAGGTTACATAGAGAGACCCTGTCTCAAAAAAACCCCATTTTTTCAATATGCATTTTCTATATATGAACATATTTTTATATATCTCTATATTTTATAATATACTACTATCAATCTTATTTTAGAAATTGAAACTGGAGTTTTGGACCCCAGACCCAAACTTCTGGACTTCCACAAGTCTGGTCCAGTCACTTGCCCCTATAGGCCAAATAAAAAGGCATGGTAAAGGGCAGAGAAAGATTTTATTACATGGAAAGAAGTAAAGTAAGAACTCAGCTCATCTTCAGCCACCTCTGAAGTACAGACATGAGCTTTGGCTTTACATAGACAAAGAATTAGGGCAGAGGGAAAAAGGTACGCATAAATAGGCCCAGCCACAGGTGTGTTCCAATGGTCAGATTAGTCAGGTGGGGTCTAGTTGACCATTACCTATTCCTTGTTCTTTGAGGATTCCACAGAAGTTGTTATCTCTTGTCCTGGAGCTGGCTGTCATGTTCCCTTCCTGTGGGGCAGTTTCCTCCACCCTCCTTATAAACATCTTATTGATAAAGTCCTGTACTTCCTGAATTCCAAAGTGACTAAGATGAATGGCTTAGACAAAGATAGATGCAAAATTGAGGAAGCTATGTCAAGCCTTTTCTCCTATTTTTGGTTAATTTGTGGGCCCAAGTAAGGAGTCAATGCTTTTTTAGCAAAAGCAGTTTAAGCACCTCTTACAATTTTACTATCGCTTAACTTTTCTCTCATTTTTAAAAATAAAGATTCAGAGTTGGGCACGGTGGTTCATGCCTGTAATTGTAGCTACTTGGCAAGTGGAGATCAGGAGGATCATGGTTTGAGGCCAACCCAGGCAAAAAGTTCTTGAGATCCCATCTCAACCAATAATCTGGGCATGGTCATGGGCACCTATCATCCCAGCTGTTTTTTTTTAAATAATATTTGATTGTATGTCTTGGTCACTTTTTTTTTTTTTTGGCAGGACTGGGGTTTGAACTCAGGGCTTCACATTTACAAAGTAGCTGCTCAACCACTTGAGCCACTCCTCCAGTTCTCATCCCAGCTATTTTTGAAGTATAAATACAAGGATTTAAAGTCCAATCTGGCTCGGGCATAAAAGTGAGACCCTATATAAAAAACAACCAAAGCAAAAAGGGCTGGTGGTATGGATCAAGTGGTAGAGCACCTGCCTAGCAAGCACAAGGCCCTAAGTTCAAACTCCAGTACTGACAAAAAAGAAAACAATTTAGATTGAGCTGTTTCATAAGTAACTCTCAGGAGATTCACTCCTTGTGGGAGCACAGAGGTTGTAGAGGTGGAGATAGAGCTGGAACCACAATCAGAGTTTAAATATACCAGAAAATCTGAGCTCTAAATTCTTATGTAAGTCACAGAGGTAGTGACCAACAGTTGTAAGATGCTGAGTACTTTCTTTGCTTTAAACTTTAATACACATCCCTTACTTCAGTTTGGCTCTGAGGCTAGCAGGCAGGGGTAGATCCTACCAGATAGGATTCAAGTTAGGAACAGCAGCCTGTTCTGCTAACCTTAATGCTAACACTTTGGGATGTCTGTTAGTAATTATTATCACTATTTTAGATTTTTGAAACAAGGTCTTGCTACATAACCTAGGTTGGCCTTGAATTTGTGATCATCCTGCCTCTGTTTCCTGTGTGCTGGAATTATAGGTGTGTGTCACTCTGTCTGGCAGTACATGGCATTTTAAAAGTAAAATTAATGTATTCTTTTTTCCCTCCATCTTCAATTTCATAGTTTACTTTCCTGGTATCATGTAGGTACATTTCTGATGAAAAAACAAATCTCCTTTGTTTCACTGTCCAGGGACTATTTATAGACAGTTGTGATATAACCCTCACAATTTGGAGAACATTAATCAGGGTAGCATTTGAGATAAGCCTTTCCTTTCCCATTAGTTTTCAGCAGACAGAAAGATCCTATGGCTTATATACCCTTCTCCTGTGGAGTGGCATGCAGAAGGTAAGAGGCCTCAGTGTGGCTCTGCCAGCATGTCTGACCTTTTTTTAATTTTTATTTTATCCTTTTTTTTTTTTGGTAGTACTAGGGTTTGAACTCAGGGCTGTTACTTGCTAAATAGGTGCTCTACCGCTTGAGCCACTCCACCAGACCTTTTTGGTGTTGGGTATTTTTGAGATAGGGTTTCTCAAACTCTTTGCCCAGGGCTGGCCTCGACCACGATCCTACAGATCTCTGTCTCCTGAATAGCTAGGATTATAGGCATGAGGTACAGGGAAGGGCAGAGGAGCTGTTGTGTTATGACAAGGCAGAGGCAGCTAGTTTACCCAACCCCTTGGCTTCCCTGCTGATAGGAGTGCCTGTAGAGCACAAACCCACTCTGAACAAGCACAAGCACAGAAATGGCAGCTGGTGGATTATCCAACTGAAAAGAGGGCTGGTGGAGTAACTCAGTGGTATAGCATTTGCCTAGCATGTATGAATTCCTGTGTTCAATTCCAGCACTACCACCCCCTACCAAACCAAACCAAACCAAATAAAAAAACAAACCCAGGAAAGAGAACCTGGAGTGCATTGTTGGGTGCTGCTTATTCATTAATTCACTCATGTATCTAGCATTTATTAAATTTTGAGTGTGGTAGGCCTGTGTGGCTAAGATGAAAGAAGTAAGAAGTTTATAACTTACTGGGGAAGAGATATTAAAACAAATAGTTTTGATGAAAGAAATAATACAGTATAATGAAAGCTATGACAGAAATATCTGCTGCTGACACATAAAAGAGGGAATCATTCTGACTTTTCAGGAACTTTCTTGGGAGAGGGAGAGTCCCTTGGAAGAAGGCATAGCATATGCAAAGCCACAGAAGCATAGCATGTTTGGGCATTCCCAAATGCCAGGGGAAGAGCTGTGGGTGTTAAGGCAGACATAACTAAGACACTCAAGAAAATCTATTGATAGAAGAATTATTATAGAAAGCAAAACACATCCAAAATAGAAACAAACAAAAAAACCTGTTGGTTCTGTGATGGCTCTTTATAGGTCACCCGGAGCACCACCTATGTATGAATCTCTGTGGGATAAAACTGCTGAAGAAAGCCGTATGAAATGCATCTTTTCTCATCTTGTTTCTGAAGGGCCTGGGGTTTTCCAGGCCTCTGCTAATTTCTCAGGGCTGCTTCAATAGAACCCAGGAGGAATGTGAGGGGTGAAAGAGTGTCCTATTAAGCTCTCAGCTATGTCTTGATGATGTGATAGCATCATGGGGAGGGGTGAGGTGGATATTTCTCATGTGGTAGGCTTAAGGCTGCTGCTGCTGTTTATTTATAGAGCCTCATCCATCTGTGAACTCTACCATCTCAATATAAAAGAACTCCCCTCCAGCCAAAAAAGAAAGAAAGAAAGAAAGAAAAAAGGTGGGTTGGTAGACCATTCTAATCAGGGTTTCTCTTTCTCAAGCAAAAGAGGATCCAAGCAACTGACAAACTGTCACGGAATCTGCCGGATCTCATGCTGGCCTTGCCCCCTCTCTCCATCTCCTGAGTGTTTCCCCCTCCTCACAGGCTGTGAGCCCATTCCTAGGAAACTAAAGGTGGGGGACTCCTGGTCCACAGCCAGCCTCGGCCTGCTGAGCTGATCCAAGTGGCCTGCCTGTTCCCCCTGGTGGCCTGATGACAGAGCTTCATGGAGGTGAGTTCACCCTTTGTCAACACAGCAGGTTTTCTAGGCAAAGCACAGAAAACAAGATCATAGAATGGGGTATGGATTTTGGGAGCATGAAAGGAAATTCAGGGAAATATTTATCTTGTGATAGCTCGAAGCTTCTATACTTTCTCCAGACCTTGGAATAACTGAGAATTTAGAGGCTAGGAAAGTTTTCTTTTTGATAAAAAGTAAAGTAAATGCTATATAAAAATTTATCCTCTTTATTAATATAATCACCTTATTAATTTTAGATTAAAAAATATTAAGTATAACCTGATTTTCTTATATAATATCACATTTGAAATTTTATTCAAATGTTTTTAATTAAACACCTTGTTTTAAGATCCCTTCAGAGCTAAAATGAAGGAAGTTATAGTCTTATGAACTTAGTGTTTTTTGTCAGACAGACAAAAGACAATTATTTACTATAGGAAAATGAAAAACTCACTAAATTCATCTATAAGAAATCTTGACACATGGGCCCTTATGTTCTGAGTTATCACATTTCTACCATTTCCACTTCTTATGAAGTTTAATTTCATTATATGTACATTAATTATTAAAATCAAGTTCTAGGACTGAAGGTGTGGCTTAAGTGGTAGACTGCCTGCTTTGTAAGCATGAAGCCCTGAGTTCAAATCCCAGTCCCACCAAAAAGAAAGAGTAGAAAATTATAATCAAGTTCTAACTTCCTCTATCACAGTACCTACCGTTAAGTTTGCTCTTACTCTTCTTTGTCCTTAGCTGTTAAAGCAAATAACGTATAAACATCTTGTTTATCATTTCTTTCTTTCTTTTTTTTTTCTGAGATAGGGTCTCATGAACTATTTGACCCGGCTGACTTCGAACCATTATCCTCCTGATCTCTGCTTCCTGAGTAGCTAGGATTACAGACGTGAGCCACCAGCACCCAGCTTGTTTATCATTCTTGAGACAAAAATAAACACTATTGTCATTGCCTATTACACTCATCTCTTTAAAGCCAAAATCTGTAAAAATAGAAGCCAAGCACAGTGGCTCAAGCCTGTAATCCTAGCTACAGGCAAGATGAAGATCAGGAAGACTGTGGTTCAAGGCAAGTATGGGCAAAAATTTCTAGAGACCGCATCTCAACCTATAAAGTTGGGCATGGTGGGATATGTCTGTCATTCTAGCTACCCTGTCATTCCAGCTACATGGGAAGTATGAACAAGAGGACTGCAGTCCAGGCTGGCCGGGGGCATAAATGTGAGACACCAAAAATGCTAATGATTTTTCTATGTTGATTTTATATCCTGCTACCTTGCTGTAGCTATTGATGGTGTCTAGGAGCTTCTGAGTAGAGTTTTTTGGGTCTTTAAGGTATAGGATCATGTTGTCTGCAAATAGGGATATTTTGACAATTTCTTTACCTATTTGTATTCCTTTTATTCCTTCTTCTTGCCTAATTGCTCTGGCTAGGAATTCCAGTACTATTATTAACCATGATTTCAAAAGTTCTCAGGAAAACCATTCTCCAAGAATTTTCCAAGGATACCATAGCTCTAATTCCTGCATTTTTCTTTGCTCTAGGAGAATGTGCACATTGCTAGGGATATAGCTAAGTAGTAGCGCGCTTACCTAACATATACAAGGGCCTGGTTTCAATCCTCAGCACTGAAAAAAAAAGTCATGTCATGTGTAAACATGGATGATTAAGCTGGTGGAGTGGCTCAAGTGGTAGAGCACCTTTCTAGCAATGGTGAAGCCCTGAATTCAAACCCCAGTACTGCCAAAGAATAAACAAATAAATGAATAAATAAATAAAATAGTTGGGATTCAAGCCCAAGTACCACCACCAAAAAAAAAAAAAAATCCTCACTACCAAACATGGATGATTAAAACAAAAGTTTGATGGGAAGACCTTATTACTTCCTTCCTTTCTTCTTTCCTTTCTTCCTTCCCTCCCTCCTTCCCTTCCTTCCTTCCTTCATTTCTTTCTTAAAATTAGGATATGCATTTTTATAAAGTGATTCCTACCAACCAGGTCTTTATAAAGATGAATATCTCCTTGACTTGAGTTTCTCTTCCACTGCCTTAAGATTAGACATCCCCTAACAGTGGTTAGGCAGTGGATGATGTGATTTCCTAAAGATTTCTAAGTATTGAAATTTCAGAATCTACTTTGGTTTCCAATTTTATACTCCCTTTAAAGCAGCAGAGGGGATCACTGGTTTCTGGGTCCCCCTGCATTCTCCAACATGCAGTCTTTCTCTTCTCTTTTCTCCAACTAAATTCTCTACAAATAAAATCTTTCTGACCTCTGCAAAAAAAAAAAAAAAAAAAAAAAACAGAAAGTTTTTTTTTTTTTTACAGGTATTTTACTTAATAAATTCAGTTCCATAAAGCATACTGACTGGCCTTCCCTTGAGTCAATAATTGAGATAACAAGCATTGGGGGTAGATAAAGAGATTAAATTTGGGCTCTGCCACTTAATAACTGTGACTGTGACAAGTTGCTTAAACTCTCTTAGCTCTGGTTTCTTTAAAAATGGGATAATAATATTTATCTCAGAGGGCTGTTACAAAGATTATATGAAATAATGTATGTAAAGCATTTGCACAGAGTATGCTTAGTAAACATGGTATGATCAATCCCTTGTTTATAGCTATGGATTTATTCTTGAAAGACAGGTTAACTGGCAAAACCTCAACTGACAAGATGAACTAAGCATAAAAACAAACAATCAGTGCACCAGTGGCTCATGACTGCAATCCTAGCTACTCGGGAGGCAGAGATCAAGAGGATCATGGTTCAATCCTGGGCAAAAAGTTCCAGAGATCCCATCTCACTCAATAAAAAAGTTGGGTGGGTGTCATCCCAGCTACACGTGAAGCATAAATAGGAGGATCCTGGTCCAGGCTGGTTAGGTCATAAAAGCAAAACCCTATTTGAAAAAATAACAAAAAGCAAAAAGGGTTGGGAGAGCGGCTCAAGGGGTATAGCAGTGGCCTACCAAGCACAAGGCTCTGAGTTCAAACTGCAGTACTGATCCCCAAAATAAATCATATAATATCAATAATAAGTAATATTAAATATATTTTACATTTTTATTAATATAAATATGACATGACTTTTAAAAAACCTTTTAAAGTATACAGTTCAGTGGTTTTTAGCTTATTCACAAGATTGTACAACCACTGCCACGGACTAATTCTAGAAAATTTTCATTTCCCTAAATTATTAGTCACTCTCCAATCCCCCTTGGTCCTACTCTGGAAACTACCATCTACTTTAAATATATTATAAAACACATAGAGTAAAGTTCCTAAATGACATTTACCTTCAGAAGGTTGCATTCACCAGTATTACAAACCCTTCCATTGGTGGAGTTCTCCCACACATTTTATTTTATTCAGAGTGTACCTATTTATAAGTTTTTAAAGATAGTCCTGACTGAATTAAAATGCATTTTTTTACTTGCAAATTATCTCATAGGCATTTTTCTATTTTGTTTTATTTTGGGCAGTTCTGGGATATGAACTCAGTACTTCATGCTTGCTAGGCAGGCACTCTACTACTTGAGCTACATCACCAGCCCCTGGGTTTGAGAAGATGGAGAATAAACAAATTTTTTTTCTCTTTACCCTCATAGAGTTGCTTACTCAGTCTGGTACAAAAAATGAAATACTCTTCTTCTTTAATCTTTTATCTTTTGGTTAATAAAATGTAAATGAATTATTAACATGTAAAAGGACTGCAAACATTTTTTCAGTGTGTTATAGAACCATGGGAAATAAGACTAGAAATATGATTTTCAATGAATTTTGGGGCTCTTGTAAAAAAGTACAGGATATTTATTTTTTTAGTTTTTGAGACAGGGTCTTGCTATGTATCCCAGGCTAGCCTGGAAACAGCTATATAGCCCAGTCTGGCCTTGAGCTTATGATTCTCCTGCCTCAGTCTCCCTGAGTGCTGGCATTAGAGGTATGTACCACCATACCTGGCTTGAAACTTACTTTGATAAGCTATGAAGAGCAACAGAAAATTTGATGGGCAGAAGAGAGTTAGCAGTCATCCTTATAAACTATATTTTGCAACTGATTAGATGACAGGGAAGGAAAAAAATATCTAAAGATAACTAGATTTCAAAACTGGAAGGTTGGTGGTGCAATAAATATAAACAGGGAAGTGAAGAAAAGGAACTAGAACTGGATGTGGTGGGGTAGCCTGAGCTCGGAGGTAGAGATTCGGGAACCACCTAGATAGAGGCTGTATATGAAGTCATGGAACTAATGGCTCACTTGGTAAGAAGATAGTGCAGAGCTGGAAGAAAGCTGAAGACCATGTGACTGCTTACACTTAGAATGAGAAGAGGAAGAGAAACTAGCGAGGGCAGGGAAGTGGGCAGAGGCAAGAGGACTAGGAGAGTATCAAATCACATTAGTCAAAGGCTAGATTAAATAAGTCCAGGAGGTTGAAAATTGAGTGCCATTAAATGCATGACTAGCAAATTATCCCACAAGTCTTAAGAAAAATTTCTTGTGATTATTTAGTTATTTATTTTTGGTGAGAGAGGTACTTGAACTAAGGGCTTCATACTTGCAAAGCAGGCTCTCTACCACTTGAGCTACACCTCTAGTCTAAGAAATACTTTCAACAGAGTGATGGAGTAGAAGGTCCATTAAAAGAGCAGAGATCAGACAAGCAAAGAGGAAACCTCTCTTACTAGGAGAAAGAATCGCCCATTCTTCCAGTACATTTGTTGAGCATCTACCATGGCAAGCTATCATGTCAGGCAAAGACACCAGAAGAATAGAAGGACATTGCAGTGGTTAATATAACACAGCCACTCTCTACATTTGTTTCTATAATTCTGTGTGTGTGTGTGTGTGTGTATAAAGCAGAGTTTATTGAGATAGATAAGTGTAAAGCAGGAGTTTATTGAAAAGTATAAAGTGGGAAAATAGAGTTTGCAGAGGTGTGTGTGTTGGGGGGGGGGGTCCCAAGACAGGGAGCCTCTCTC